ACAAGACCTGGAGCTGATTGTGGCTCAGATCATGAGCTACTCATTGCAAAATTCAGACTTAAACTGAAGACAGTTGGGGAAACTACTAGGCCATTCAGGTTTGACCTAGATCACATTCCTGATGAATATACAGTGGAGGTGAAGAATAGGTTTAAGCAGGGGTCTTTTTGTAGAAAAAGAGCTGCAGGAGCTCATTAGCATATGATATGCTAATGAGCTACTAGGCTATTAGCATAATAGCTCATTAGCGTATGCAACGCCCCCTGACATCACTGGAAGTGATGTCAGAAGGGGAAGCAAAAGGGGGGGGAAGGCATCTTCAAAAGCCTTCAAAAGCCTTCCCTTCTCACTAGAGTTGGGCCACAGAAGGAGGAAAGAAGGAAGGAAAGAGAGCGAGAGAGTAGAGAAAAGGAACGAAGGAAGGAAAGAATGAAAGAAAGAGAAGGAAAGAAGGAAGGAAAGAGGAAAAGAAAGAGAAGGAAAGAAAGAGGGAAAGAAAGAGAGAAGGGAAAGAAGAAAAGGAAAGAATGAAAGGAGGGAAAGAAAGAGAGAGAAGGGAAGAAGGAGGGAAAGCGAGAGAAGGAAAGAAGAAGGAAAAGGGAGGGAGGGAGGAAGAGAAGAGAAAGAAAGAGGGCAACGAGATGGGGGGAGGGTCTCCCGGTCTCCCACCCCCCCAATCAAGCCTCTGCCCCCACCCCGCGGATCCCTCACTTACCCTGGGAGGCAGCGGGGAGCGTCCTCTGGCCTCCTCTTTGTTCCCTGGGGCCTCTGAGCTCCGGTGCTAGCCCCAGGGAGGCAGCAACGCTGGGGCTCTTTTTTGTTCCCTGGGGCTCGCACCGAAGCGCAGCGGCCCCAGGGAGGCGGCACCGGATCTCCTCTTCGCTCCCTGGGGCCGCTGTGCTCCGGCGCGAGCCCCAGGAAGGCAGCAACGTTGGGGGGGGGGTTTTGCTCCCTGGGGCTCGCGCCGAAGCGCAGCGGCCCCAGGGAGGCGGCGCCGGGTCTCCTCTTCACTCCCTGGGGCCGCTGCGCTCCGGTGCGAGCCCCAGGGAGCTGGCGACGGGCCTCTGGCACGTGGGCTCCCCGGCCTCTGGTGGTGGGGGAGCTCGGTGGTCGCAACAGGTTTCTCCTCCGTTGCAGGGGGCAGGGCTTGGTCATGTGACCGCCCCGCCCCATGGGCTGGTCACTCCCAGAGCGGGGCTCCGGAGAGCTCCAGCCCCATGAGACCCCTGGGCTTCAGAAACAGTGGCTTCAGAGGAGTCAGAGAACAGCTTGACCAGGGACAAGAAATCTGTTTAGGGAGTGAGCTGATTTATGCTTGGCCGCAGACTAATGGATCCAATTGATATCCAGAATGCTTTGTAGGATCTGATTCCACCAGGTAATTCTTTAGATGGGCTGGTAGAGGATTGGCATAGCGAACTCTCTGAAGCCATCAACGAAATTGCTCCCTGATGCCCTCTTCACTCCCATCCCAATTAGCCCCTTGGTATACCATGGAGCCACAGAGGATGAAACAGGAGCTAAGACGGCTAGAGCAAGTGTGGTAGTGTAATTGTGACAAAGCTACAAGAAAATTTTATAGGTCATTTATGAGTCAAAAAGACCCCTGGAAACCGTTTAAGGGACTAGATTTGATAGAGTGCCTGAAGAACTTCATGACATTGTACAGGAGGCAGCAATCAGCACCATCCCAAAGAAGAAGAAGTGCAAGAAAGTGAAGTGGCTGTCTGATGAGACTTTACAAATAGCTGAGGAAAGAAGGAAAGTGAAAGAGAAAGGCGAAAAGGAAAGATTTACCCAACTGAATGCAGATTTCCAGAGAACAGCAAGGAGAGATAAGGAGGCTTTCCTGATGCAAAGTAATAGAGGAAAACAATAGAATGGGAAGGACTAGAGATCTCTTCAAGAAAATTGGAGAAATCAAGGGAACATTCCATGGAAAGCTGGCCATGATAAAGAACAAAAATGGTAGGGACCTAACAGAAGCAGAAGAGATTAGGAACAGATGGCAAGAATGCACAGAAGAACTATACAAGGACCTCAATGTCCTTGACAACCACGATGGTGTAATCACTGACCTCGAGCCAGGCATCCTGGAATGCAGTCAAATGGGCCTTAGAAAGCATTACTAATAACAAAGCTAGCGGAGGCGATGGTATCCCAGCTGAGCTATTCAATGTCTTAAAAGATGATGATGTCAAAGTGCTGCAAATTTGGATAAATGCAACATTGGCCACAGGATTGGAAAAGGTCAGTTTACATTCCAATCCCAAAGAAGGGCAATGCCAAGGAATGTTCAAACTATCGTACAATTGCATTCATTTCACACGCTAGCAAGGTCATGCTCAAGATCCTACAAGCTAGGCTTCAGCAGTACGTGAATAGAGAACTGCCAGAGACTTCCGGTTTTTGGCAGCATGATGGTGTACACGACCCTGGTGAGCTCCCGGGGTCACGATCCGAACGCCAGCAGATAGGAGGGGGTGCAATTGTCCGCTTGTGTTTGGGCTCCTAGCCGTGGAGTTTTTGAAAGATTGCCTCTTTTCCAGCTCGATGCCGAGGAATTGAGACTTCCCTCTGAATTGAGGAATTGAGACCGCCCTGAAGGTCCTGCCGCTGTGCGACCGCATGGCTCTAGAGTCGCTGACCAGGACAAGCGCGTGAAGATCGGGCATTTTACACATACCTGAGGCGGGTTCTAGGACCAACGATGAACTGTGAGTCGTGGTGAAAGCAAAACACTGAGTTTCGGCTAGAAAGCCCCTCTGATTCAAGCGAGCGGGGGAGGGAACTCCCAGACGCGATGTCCAAGCAGATCATTTTAAAAAGAGGGTGCCAGACGTAAAAGCCATAGAACTGATTTAGGAAGTACACAAGAGCGCAGCAAAGCATTCTGGTGGAAAACAGAGACTTCGGCAAACTTTTCTAAAAGTAAACAATCCTCAAAAATGGTGGGGCGGAGAGGCGAGAAAGAGAAACCAACGCAGCTTAAGCCTCCTTCGGGAAGTAGAAGCCCGAAACCGGAAGCTACCAACGAGCTTTCACAGCTATTAGCTGAATCACTGCACCCTCTGCTGGACCAGATGACAAACATCAATCAGGTCAAAGAAGAAGGGGACAGCAAAGGATGAGATGGTTAGACAGTGTTATCGATGCAACAAACATGAAATTAAGCAAACTCCGGAGCACGACGGAAGACAGGAGGGCCTGGTGTGATGTGGTTCATGGGGTCGCGAAGAGTCGGACTCAACTGTGCAACTGAACAACAACAAAAGCTGTGTTGAACTTTGTTCTACTAAATAAAGACTAAGTCCAATAGCACCTTAAAGACCAACAAAATTTTCCAGGATATATGCTTTCATGAGTGAAAGCTCATTTTGTCAGATCTGATAAGATCAAGATCTGATAAGATCTGACTCACAAAAGCTTACATCCTGGAAAATTTTGTTGGTCTTTAAGCTGCTATTGGACTTGGAATGTTTAACGTAGGGGAAGAAGTGGGTGAGGATTACATTGCTTTTGTCTCTAACAGTTTATCTCCTCCAGAAGGAGGCAGTAAGTACCAAGGGAATACTTTACAGCCAAGTCAAGATGTTATAAACCTTTAAAGGCTCTGAACACTTTTAAGCTGAAACAGCTCTGACAGGAGGAATGAGAACCAGAAAACCAACACACCCAAGAACTTTTTCAGCTGTAAAGACAGCATATCCCTTACTAGTTTTTAGCATCCTGGATTTGGGATAACAATTAGGGTCATAGGCTGTATACTGTCTCCAATACCCTCCTATCCAACCTCTATTTAAGAATCAGGGGAAAGAGGTAAAAATACCACCCTTGCCTTCTTCCTGGCTACTAACTCCCAAAGTTTGACCAGAGCTAGAATCAGTGTTATCAGGTGTACTGCACTAGTTGAACAGAAAGCTGCTTACCTAGGTCTTGCACTGTTCTGCTTTTTTTCAGGGGTCCTGTTTATCCCAGGGTTGCCCAAGTTGGCACTTGCTACTACCTCCCCTGGTACACACCAATTTTTTTCAGAAAGTGGGCAGGGCCATTGTATGGCAAGCCTTGTTATTGGTTGCTGTCCTTCTAATGAAAGAGTTTTCATTATAGCAGCTGCAGCCACTGGCGGTCTGATGAGCACCTGGCTTTCCTTAGTCAGTGTATTGGTTACATTCCCTCTTCTGGCCTGACTGACTGTTGCCAGAATGTTATTTTGCAAAGCAGAGAGGAAGCTTTGTTCTACAGTCCAGTCAGCTGGGCTGGTACATGAGGGGATATAAGTGCTCAGGAGTAGAAGCCCACCCACTCATTCCCCGGGCTTGCTGCTCTCCCAGCTGCTGTACCATGCTCAGAGTAATAATACTAACCCTGGCAGACTCTGAAGTAGGCGGCTTCATGTGTTCAGCATGGTCATCATGCACTTCTTTTGAAAAGTGGGGGAGGGTGTTTGGCTCCGCCTCCTGCAGCAGCCATTTTGGAGTGATGCTCACCACCACCTCTCAAAATTCCAAAGGAGTCTGCAGGCTAAAAAAGGCTGGGGGAGCCTGGTTTATCCTCTCCCCCTACCGGGTTCCTCATGGGTCCCCCAACCTGTTATACCATGTTCACTTTCAGCCCTGCCATTTTATAAAAATGATTCGTTTTTTAATCCTTCTCTATTTCACACCCATTCCAAATGAAGCCTTTTACTCAGCTCTCCACTGCATCAAAGCATAAATGCCTTCCAGCCAGTGCTGGACTAGGATCCAGGAGATCCAGGCTTGAATTCCCACCCTGCCATGAAAACTTGCTGGGTGACTTCGGGCTAGCTGCACATACTTTCAGCCTAGCCTCCCTCAGGGAGTTGTTGTGAGGATAAAAATGGAAGATAGGAGACTGATGTAAGGCACTTTGGATGCCCACTGGGGAGAAAGGTGGGTTATAAATGAAGTAAATAAATTTAATGAATGCCCTGCTACTCACAACAACACAGTATAGCTTTAAAAAAAAATGGTTCTTACTTTTTGATCCCCATGCCTGGTTTGGCTCTCAAAGGGTTTTGTATAATCACATCTAATACAGGTTGGGTGGCCCTGTGTTGATATGCATAGCTTCGTGGCACTCAGTCCTGTAATGCTGCCTGGGGGGGAAAAACAAAAGCAACCAAACATCTTTACTTGAGTGATATATATATAATGTGTTATACAAATGTCCTATGATCCGCTTTGCCCTTAGACTTTGCTGCAGAAACAAGCAATCAGCTTGCCCTTATGCAACATCAAAAAACAGCTGCTTCACACATTGTGTAGTAATAAATGCACATCTGCTGCCACCTTACACGGGGTAAGAAATCACAAATTAATCTCTATTCCAGGCACACATCTTTGGAGGATACGCCTGATACTATATGGGCAACATTTTCACTTATAAGCCCAAATGTTTTGTGTGTGCATTTTGACACGTCAATCAGCTAGGGGTAAGGAAAGAAAAAGAAGGGGGAGAATACAAATACAATAAGATACTAGAGCATGCTTTTAAGGTTTAACTTGAAGACGGGGTTTCTGAATTTAAAAAAAAAAAGGAATACTCTACCAGGAAATCAAGGGCATGTTCACATACAAATGAATTTCTGTAAAGTAAATTCTATAAATCAACCAAGCCTATAATGGTAATTACTACTACTTACAATTACTCTTAATTACAAACATTCATTTTGACATAGCACTAATATTGGAATCCACTAGATTTCCCATCCTTTGATTCCCCCTCACACACACACACACACACAGTGAGCCTAACCAGCTTCATCACATCCCATACGTTTTTTAGCCAATCTGTCTTGTTGGGAACATGTTTTGTTTCCTAGTGACTGGTTAGCACCAACTTTGCAGTTATTAACAAATTTTTACCCACTTCTAGAGCCAAAGAGTTTACCATTTTAACATAACTCAGTAGAAGAGTCTCAAGTACTTGAGACAGTACTTTTCCTAAGACTTCTAATCTATATATCTAATAGCCAAGTCACCCCCTCTGTGCAGATGCTTAAATCCGCGCATCGGGGGGACCGGGAGGGGGGGAGGGAGAGTTTTGGGCACACGTGGGGTGGTCCCCACATCTGCACAAAAATCTTAGTGTGAAAAAGTTCCTGGGGGTCCTTAAATTTGCCAAAAGTAAAAAAGAACGTCCCCTGCGCATGCGCGGGGAACGCTCTTGGAACGGGGGCTGGAGTTTGCGGCCTGCAGGAGGGGCGGCGCGTTCTTTCCCTCGCCCCCAGCCCACCTTGGCTTTCTGCGGGTCTCGATCCTCTTCGCCGGCTTCCTCTCCTCTGTCGGCGTCGCCTCCCCCGTCCGGGCCGCAGCGTCCCCGGTCGGGCGGGAAAGGCGGGGGGGCTGAGGAGGCGAGCGCGCAATCTGTTCCCACGGAGGAAGAGCCGCCACTGCCCCTGACTAGGCCAAGGCGGCGATGCTGGTGGAGGGTGGAGGGTGGAGGGAGGAGGAGGAGGGCCGCGCTGCGCTCGCCCGCTGGGTCTCCCTCCACCGACAGGGAAGGGGGGGAGGAGGAGGAGGAGGAGGACGCGCGTTCCCGTCAGCCGCCGCCGCCACTACCGGGCTCCCCGGTTCAGCCCCGACCTCGGCGTGCAGTCTCCCCCCCCCCCCGCGGGGATTGCCGGGCCGCGCCCTTGCCTTCAGCCCCGACCTCGGCGTGCAGTGTCTCTCCCCCCCACCGCCGCTGCTACCGGTCTGCCCAGTTCAGCCCCGACCACGGTGTGCAGTGTGTCCCCTCCCGCCGCTTGTATTATATTAAATCTGTGCATGCTCGCAGGTCCACCAGATGTGCAGGGAAATCAGCTTTATTCTTAGAACAGAAGTTATAACTGCCTGAAAAATTTCCATAAATTTTTGATACTCTCCACGGAGACAATGCCATTGCTCGTACAAAGCATTTTCCGTACCTATCACTTGAATGAAGTTACAGGTAGCTTTGCTGGTCCCAAGCAAAAATTAAAACAACAAAAAACAGAGCAATGTAGTATTCTTGTTGTTTATTGTTATTTTGGTTGGCCATAATAAAAGGCATTTCAAGCCATGATCTTTTCCTTTTTTGCCATTGTCAAGCTGACTTCTGACAACCCCTAGTGGGGCTTGAAGGCAAGGTGGCTTGCCATCACCTGCCTCTGTGTCATGACCCTGGTATTCCTTGCAGGCCACCCTTCCAAATACTAGCCAGAGCCGGCCCTGCTTAGCTTCCAAGATCTGATGAGATCAGGCTTGCCTGGGCTATCCGGGTCAGGGCAAGCCATGATCTTAAGGCCTCTTCTCTGCGTCCTGAGTAGAATAATGCCACTGAAATCAGTGTAACTGAAGTGGTGCGGGTATCAAAGGAGTTTTATGATAAATTCACCTGTGTTGCCTACTGAGGCTTGATCAATACACGCATGAAAACTGGATGCAGGTGGAACAATAAAGAAGGGTCTTTGCACTATCTGTAATGTATTGGAAATACTTACATGAATCACCGCATTCACTCCCCATGTTAAGCTTCGAGCCGAAGAAAGGCTCCTCTGAACTAACTTACGATTGGTCACTCTGTACCAGCAACCAGTCAGGACAACACACAGTCCCTGAGCGGGAAGGACGCTCATTGGTCTTTATCCAAGCAACCTCATTGGTTTGTAAATAGGTGTGGCTATGTTAGCCCGGGAATGTTTAAAAGGAGCCTAGCTCCCAATGTTAATCTGTTCTGGTTATGAATGCCTTTGAGTGCTTGTTCGTTACTTCAATAAGGCTGAAATCACTTGCTGAAATCACTCTCCGATCCTTTGTTAGCGGCGATCTAACACTATCCCTGGCAATTGCTCATATTTTCTAGCCTCCTCCCTCCCACTGCAGCCTGCCATAGTCCTGAAATCTTGTTTTGGAGCGAATGGGCTCCTGGTAGGGTTGCCAGGTCTGGGTTGGGAAATACCTGGAGACTTTGGGGGTGGATCCGGGAGAGGGTGGGGTTTGGGGAGGAGAGGGGCCTCAGCCTGGTACAATGCCATACAGTCCACCCTTCAAAGCAGCCATTTTCTCCAGGGGAGCTTATCTCTGTCAGCTGGAGACCAGATGTAAAAGCGGGAGATCTCCAGGCCCCACCTGGAGGCTGGCAGCCCTAGCTCCTGGGGACAGCATGGGAGAATAATTGGGGGCCTTCAGGGGAAAGAGGAAGTCAGCAGGAGTTACTTTCCATCTTCCCCACTGGCAAAGTGCCACCCACAAGCTAAAAAACATGGTTTGGATCCGCTGCAGAGCTTTAAGCTTGTGAATCTTGTCCCCACATCCCAAAATTAAATTTGAGTGTCAAGTAGTTAAGTAGTCCTTGTACTTAGGGTTGCCAAATGTACCCGGGGGGCGGGGAATCCCCCACTTCGGAGCCCCGATTTTCGCCCGGAACCCCGCCTCCGAAGCCGCGTCACCAGAGGTGACGCAGCCACATTGCTGACGTTGGGGGCGTGGCTGAGCTCGTCGGGGGGGAGACCGACAAGCTTGGCCACGCCCCCAACGTCAGCAACATCTGACATCACTTTTGGTGACGTCGCGGCGGTGCGCACGCGCACAACCAGCCTGCTTCCGGACAGGACAGAGCGTCCCCCGCCGGTAAGTTAAAAAGACTTGGCAACCCTACTTGTACTACTAATAAAAGTCAGAGGAAAGAATGCCAGGCAGTTAGGTAAACATTCGTAACATTTCAAGCCCGAGTGCAAAAAGCTGTCTTATCTTTATGTTCCCCTAAGAGACCTACCATCTGCACTAATGGTCCAAGTAATGTTTAATTGGTTTGTTCCTTCTTTTTCAACAATTCTGGCACTGATATCGTCAAGACCTGATGGTGTGAATTCGTACCACCTCTCCAACTCGGCAGAAGGCTCTTGCAAAGGTAAAAAGACAGGAGTTATTTATTTAGAATGAAATAGCCAGCAGAGTCTACTAGTGCTTTTCAAACATTATCTTTTAAAACAGGGGAACAGTTAGGTGGGTGATAAGAGAGGTAAGCGGGGCACCCCATCACCTGCAACATCACTTGGCAGGACTAAGATCCACATAACTGCTGGGGGGGGGGGCAGAATTCCACCTCTCAGCTATTCTCTAGGCTGAACAGTGGTGTTCTGATGTTTATTTATTTAAGAGATTTTTATGCTGCCTGCAGAGTCCTGCTTGAGGCAGCTTACAATTAAAATAATACACTATCAACACAAAATAAAGCCATTAAAACCAGTGAAGGGGCTAAAAACAGCATAAATCTCTCCGTAAACAGAAAGACAAGCCCCCTAACTAAAAGCCTGATGCATAAAAGACAGTAAGGCAAGGAAGAATGGAGAAAGCATTCCAGAGGCAAGGTGCCACTGCAGAAGACTCCTGGTCTCTAGTCACGAGCTGCCTCACCTCTGAAGGCAGGGGCACAGAGAGTAGGGCTTGGGAGGTACATCTTAAATAGAGGGCTGGACAACATAGGAGATGCTCCATCCCACGGGTTTGTGTGTTAAACCGTTCTCTAATAAATTTGAGTTTAAGAGTCATATCACTCAAAGGGTCTGGATCTTTCAACCACTATCCATCGTTTAAGATACAGGGGCACAACATAGAGCCTGAAAAGGCATGCTGAGCAGCCCCGGAGCACAGCAAGAAGTTGGGGGAGGGGAGCCACTGTTCTGATCACTGAAGATCTTCCTGTCACACCACATAGCACTGGATGTGGGAAGAAAACATTTCAGGATCAGCTGAGATTCTAGGCAGGACAGCATGATTTGTTCACTGTGGATGGCTATCTCCAAACTGTGGTGGAGAGACTTGGCTCTTAAACTCACATTAAATTTGATTTGTACTCCAATGTTTGAGTAGTTGCAAAAGCACAATAGCTATAAAATACATTAATCCCATTATGTAAAATAGTGGTACTGACTCTGTGACTGACAGAGAAACACATTCACAATCACCATCCATCAAAAGACCCACATGACTACTGGGTGCCACCCTGCTCTCTCCTCAAAATGAGGCACAGCAGTTTAGTCCAGAGAGTGAGACTGCCAGCACGCCCAGAATAGTGCAAGCTAGCGGGACTCAAACCACCAGCACTCCACTGTGGCCATCTTACTCTTTTCCAGGGAGGAAGCCAGGGAGGTGGTTTTACTTTCTTTTCTGTGGCCAACTTGCTGTCCCCTCCTAAAATCGGCCCAGATTTTTCCATCATCATCTGACACAGATCTCTAAATAGCAAACTTCCAGACAAATAGAATATGAAGTTATACAGAGCGGTTTGCTGTTGAAACTCTGAGTATTTTTATTCCAAATATTCACTTGGAGGGCTGTGCTGCTCCTTTCCTTTGCTGTGCTGCTCCTTTCCTTCTCTGGCACACTACTAGATAACTGCAAGTAGAGTGGGACTATCAACTGATTGAAAAACGTTTCCATTATTTAGTCAAAGGCAGGGAACTAAATTATTCAAATTGTATAAAGATTCTTTGAGATACTGAAGGAAATGTAAGGTACTGTAATTTTAATAAAACACAACTATCGCCCATTGATAAAGAAATGACCATCTGCAATAGATTCCTGTTCTTCACATTAAAAAAATACTTCAGAGCAAAATAGCATCAAATACAATTCTCCCTTCATCTTGAAGTTTCAGTTATAATTTGTACTTATGAATCAACTGAGGTTTTAGCTGATTAATCTGCTGATTAAATGTTGCACCCATCAAGGCAAGAGACAGTGATTAATGGGATTTTAAAGTGTTTAGCATACACCAGGATTTTACTGACCTTTTAATGCTTAAAAAGACATTTTGCTTATACCTACTGTTTTCTGTATCACACTGCATGGACTACAATGAATCATTAATGGGATTTAAGTATCAAATATACACCAGGATTTTACTGACCTTTTAATGCTTAAAAAACCCCCACTTTGTTTATACCTACCGTTTTCTGTACCACAATGCATGGACTACAATGAAAAAGAAAACCAGGATTAAAAGAAACAGAATAAATTCCAAAAACAGAAATATTCAGCTATACAGCAATAAGAATTTTACTTGAACACATGGCTTTGAAAGTGTTTAGTCAGTGGCAATTCTGTACATACAGATGTCCAGATAGTTACTGCAGCTTGTTACCATGTGTGTTTGCAATTGCATTTTAAATGATAAACTGTGATTATAATCAGTGATCTGTATTTATAAGTTGCTTCTATATTTATATTTATTTATTTAATTTATACCCCGCCCTCCCTGCCAAAGCAGGCTCATTACAAAGGATAAAACATAAAAACAATTATAACATAGGTAAAACCATATAAAACCATATAAACAAACTGGTATCATAAAGTGCTAGCTAGTTGTAATTAATACTTAGAGATGGCGGCAACAGTTATGTTAGTATAATCTCTGGTCTGCCTTGCTCATCAGTTTCTCATTCTTATCATATATATGCAGCAGTCACAGGCTGTAATGATGGAATCAGGGCATGAGCTCTGTCTTTTTCAAGTATTGTTAATCTTTAATGTTGTTGGTGTAGTTAATAGCAGTAGCTCCTAACCAAAGGCCTGGTGGAAGAGCTCCATCTTGCAGGCCCTGAGGAACTGTAAAAAGTCCCACAGGGGTCTGATCTCTTCTGGGAGCTCGTTCCACCAGTGCAGAGCCGCCACCAAGAAGGCCCTGGTTGTTGCTAGTCTGATGTCTTTGAGGCCCAGGAGGGTCAATCGGTTTTGAGACCCTGAATGCAGTGCTTGCTGGAGTACATATGGGGAAAGGCGGTCCCCTCAGGTATGTTGGCCCCTGACCATATAGGGTTTTAAAGGTAAGAACCAACACCTTGAAGCGAATTTAGAATGCTATCGGCAGCCAGTGTAGTGCCTTTAGCACAGGCTGGATGTGCTCCCACAATAACCATTGCATGGATCACTGTTGCCAAGTTGTTGTGGTCGAGGAAGGGAACCAACTGCTTGATCAACCAAAGATGGTAAAAGGTTGACTTGGCAGTGGCTGCTACCTGGACCTCCATTGTTAGGGAGGTGTCCAAGAGCACTCCCAAGCTCCTAACCTCTGGCACTGGCACCAATGGAGTCCCGTCGAAGGTCGGGAGTGGGATCCCTACCCTTGGTCCACCCCAACTCAGGCACAGGACCTCCGTCTTCATCAGATTCAAATTCAGTCAGCTCAGCCTAAGCCATCCAGCCATGTCTTGTAATGCCCAATCCAGATCTTCTGGTTTAGAGTCAGACTGGCCACCCAACAACAGATAGAGCTGGGTGTCATCCGCATATTGGTGACAACCCAGCCCATGCCTCTGGGCAATTTGGGCAAGGGGACGCATATAGATGTTAAATAGCATCAGGAAGAGCACTGCCCCTTGAGGCACTCAGTGCAGTGGGCGCCTTCAGGATAGCTGTTCCCCTACCGCCACCCTTTGTCCCCAACCTCAGAGAAAGGAGGCAAGTCATTGTAAGACAGACCCCTGAACTCCTGTGTTGGCAAGGCGGTGGATCAGTAACTGATGGTCGACCATGTTGAACCCTGCCAACAGGCCCAACAACAACAGCATTGCAGAACCTCCCTGATCCAGATGCCTCTGGAGGTTGTCTGTGAGGGCGACCAGTGCTGTCTCCATCCCGTGGCCCAGGCAAAAACTGGACTGGAAGGGATATAAGATGGAAGCGTCATCCAAAAGCCCTGTAGCTGCGTTGCTACAGCCCTGTCTAATTCTTTTGCCCAAATAGGGCGGGTTGGAGACTGGCCGGTAATTTGCCAATTTGGCCGGGTCCAGAGATGGGTTTTTCAAGAGAGAGTAGACCACTGCTTCTTTAAGTGCCCTAGGGAACAGTCCCTCAATGAGGGACTTGTTAATGATCTCACTTAGGGCACCTCGAAACCCATCATGGACAGCTTTAATTAGCCACGACGGGCATGGATCTAGACAGCATGTGGTTGGCCGTACAGCCAAGAGCAGTTTGTTGACATCCTCTAGGCTGATTGGACTGAAATGATCCATAATCTGGCTCGAAGACGTGGATGGAGCCTCAAGTTCGCTCACTGTCTCAAATGTGGTGGGGAGGTTGCGGTGGAGCAACAAGACTTTATCTGTGAAGCAGCTCACAAAGGCCTCACAGCCAATATCCAATTCCCTAGCGTTTGGCTTGCCTTGTGGCAGAGCAGTGAAGGACCGAACTGTTCTAAACTGGGCTGGGCATGAGCTCGCAGATGCAATTATAGCTGCGTAAAATTCACGCTTCACGGCTTTCACTGCCATCTCATAGGATCTCATAAACATCCTATAAGAAGTTCTTGCAGCCTCGTCTCAGGCACGGCCCTATAGCTGCGTTGCTACAGCCCTCTCTATTCTGTTGCCCAAATAGGGCAGGTTGGAGACTGGCTGGTAATTTGCCAATTTGGCCAGGTCCAGAGATGGTTTTTTCAAGAGAGAGCAGACCACTGCTTCTTTAAGTGCCATAGGGAACAGTCCCTCAATGAGGGACTTGTTAATGATCGCACTTAGGGCACCTCGAAGCCCATCGTGGCCAGGTTTAATTAGCCACAAGAGCCATGGATTTAGACAGCACGTGGTTGGCCGTACAGCCAAGAGCAGTTTGTTGACGTCCTCTAGGCTGATTGGACTGAAATGATTCATAATCTGGCTTGAAGACGTGCATGGAGCCTCAAGTTCGCTCACTGTCTCAAATGTGGTGGGGAGGTTGCAATGGAGCAACAAGACTTTATTTGTGAAGCAGCTCGCAAAGGCCTCACAGCCAATATCCAATTCCCTAGCGTTTGGCCTGCCTTGTGGCAGAGCAGTCAAGGGCCGAATTGTTCTAAACAACTGGGCTGGGCGTGAGCTCGCAGATGCAATTATAGCTGCGTAAAATTCACGCTTCGCACGGCTTTCACTGCCATCTCATAGGATCTCATAAACATCCTATAAGAAGTTCTTGCAGCCTCGTCTCAGGCACGCCGCCACCATCTTGCCATGGTCTTTGTTTAAAATACTGGACAGGGGGAAAGGTGGACTAGAACACCCAATTAACCTGAAGGAAAGTTCTGTACGATAATAGTAATTCTAAAACCTTTTGTGTTTAACTTTTGTTTAAGGAGGACTGTCTTACATTCATGGCAGCCTTCCTTTTGGATAAATATGGAATATTTAAAAAGTGTGTTTGGAAACTGCACCTAGTGCAGAATGCTGCTGCTAGACTGCTGATCAGGGCCAGCTATCGAGAGCATGTGTTCCCCAATACTACAGCAATTATACTGGCTACCGATCCACCCCACCCGGCTTGGGACCAGGGTCTTCTCCCATACATTCCTGCCCAGGAATTAAGATCATGGGGAGATGCCCTCCTGACTTTCCCACCAATTAAAGACGCTTGGTTGGTAAGTACTTGAGAGATGGCCTTTTCAGCAGCAGCCCCACAATTATTTTAGGGAAGAAGTAAATGTGGAAAGGTCCCCTGCTTCCACTGCATTCTCAAACTGTACCTTTGTGTTCCCCACAAAACATGAATGCAGTCTTCAGGGCTTGATACAAACTTGGGCAAAATGTATGGGGAATCTCTTGAAGACTGCAGTGTGGAATTCCACTTATCTGACATGGGTGGAGCTATAGATGTAAAAGACTTCCAGAAATTTGAAGCTAGAGGGAGGGGAGCAGTTTGGGGGGAAACTGAAATATATGCGGTGTTTACTGTACAACCATTAATTTATTTTACTGCTTTAGCATAAAATACATCCTTTATAGCTAAGCATACAAATTGTACTATTTGCATATTTGTGAAATTTGAAATAAAAAGTTTATTAATGTAATTAATATTATAGAAACAGAGAGGGAATACCTACTGCGAACTCCTGCTACATTTATATACCTTACTGCATGTATCTTAAAGGTTGAAAACAGAAAACACACATTTTGTAGTAAACAGAAGGAAGTATATTATATAGACAAAAAGAAGTCACAATAAAACTTATTTATGTGTGTATCAAGATAAACTTTGGAACAATTAACTCTTCAATGCACTAGATTGTCTGTGATAAACTTCTTCATACTTCACATGCTGAGTGAACAAAACCTTTTAAAAGCATTTTATTCATTCAAAAAACCCAAACATTTTATATGCCAAATGTTTCTGGGTTTTTTAAATTAAGGACCTTGACATCTCTGGGAAAGGGGGGGGGAGGGTTCAGTTCTGAAGAACATCTCATATACAAAAGTCTTATACGTAGATATCAACTCCAAAAGGATGTGTGTGTTCACACAGGCTGTTTTGTAAACTCAGGAAATTAAATGCCTATCAGAAACTCTCACATGATTAAGTACACAGATATTAAACAATACATATTAAGCAACTATCACTTGGCCCTTGATGCAAACAGATACACGCAGCAGGGAAAATAGCAACCACTTCACCAGCAACCCTGGAAAATCTATGCCATTCTCACTAATTCTCAATTCAGAATGCCCCGCTATAGTTAGGAACATGTTCTGATGTTTACCTAGTGATACAATTCTTCCACTTGGCACCACGAGAATAAGAAAGGATATTCCTCTGTGCTGCAAAAGTCTTTGTATCTTCGCTCTGCTGTGGGCATGCCCCACCACCTCTCATACGTATGATCAGGAATGTGTATCATCTATTCTCTATTGTTTCTCAATTCAGAATGCCCTGCTATAGTTAGGAACATGTCCTGATGTTTACCTACTGATACAATTCTTCCACTTGGCACCACGAGAATAAGAAAGGATATTCCTCTGTGCTGCAAAAGTCTTTGTATCTTCGCTCTGCTGTGGGCATGCACCACCACCTCTCATACGTATGATCAGGAATGTGTATCATCTATTCTCTATTTTTTAGGAAAATGGAATCAAGAACATTAATGCTTCTACATTTTTGCAGAATATCCTCCTCTGAGAATACTGACGAGGAACAGCTTGGAGATTCCAAGGCATGCCAGTTTTAGTAGTCATGCTATCAGAACTGGACCTCATGAAACACAAATACTTTTTATTTACTTGCTTCATTATACCCCGACCTTTCTCCCCAATGGAGATCCAAAGGAACTCACACTGTTCTCCTTTCCTCCACGTTATCCTCACAACAACCCTGTGAGGTAGTCTAGGCCAAGACTGTGTGACTAGCCCAAGGTCACCAAACTTCCATGACAGAAAGAGGATTTGAACCTGGTCTCCCAGATCCTCATCCAATAGTCTTACTGCTACATTGGGTCGCCGGGTCCCCCTGGCCACTAGTGGACGATGGGTTGTTGTTTTTTTGCCAGATCTAGGTTGGAAAAGTCCTGGAGATATGGGGGACAGGGATCTCAGTGGGGTACAATGCCATAGAGCCCACCCTCCAAACCATCCATTTTCTCCAGGAAAACTGAACTCTGCAGTCTGGAGATGAGCTGTAATTCCACAGGATCCCCAGGTCCCACCTAGAGGCTGGCATCCCTACCATCACCCTGGCTCTATCAAGTACTTTGCCACATACTAGTTTCTGTGACTCACTACAACACTGTGGTAACTATTTTTTTCAATAAGGGATAAAGGTCACCTTTTCTTCTTTTGGTCTTCAAGGTGCTCCTGGTCTCAAATTTTGTTCTATTCTTTTCTTCTCTGGTGTCAGACCACAATCCTGTGCACTTCCTTGGGAGTAAATTCCACTGATCTCACTGGCACTTAGTTCTGAGTAGACACACATAGATTCGATCTACCAGCCTAACTACAGCATCTTTCAGGATTCACCTTGCATTATATCACACAGCCTTTCACAACCCTTCTACGGTCTTCAGTTTTCTTGTTTTAGGGCAGCAACGTTTTGCGCTTGTAAAGCAACTGACACCTAAATGAGGCTGCTTGCAGGTAAGATTTCATCAGCTTTTTTCCCCTTAAAAATATATACCTAGAAAATCATACCTGCATCAGCATCCCCACAACACTACAATAAGCAATGCTCTCTGTGCCTTGTCAAATACTATGCCGCAATTCCACCCTACTGAGAACTCCATAGAGCAAGCTAGAATGTCAAAAGTTGCCACTTGCACTGGGCAGCAGTCAGGAGACCAAGGTGGGACATGCTCTTTTGCCAAGGAGCACATATCGTAAGCTCATCATAGCAACACTGAGAAACACCCGCCCCCACGCGGTCTTTTAAAGAATATTATTCTGGAGAGGATGAAGTTGCACTTGATGGAAGTCCTGCTCCCCAGCTTACTAGAGGCTTCTTGAAAAGCTACAGAACCCCATATCTTGGAGATCCCAGCATAGTGGTTAAGAGTGTCAGGCTATTTTCTGTAAGTCCTGGGTTTGAATCCCCACTTATACCACGGAAGCTCTCTGGATGACCTTGGGCCAGTCACACTCTCTCAGGCTAGCCTACCTCACAGGGTTGTTGTGAGTATAAAAGGAGAAGCAGAGTATGACATAACCTACTTTAGGTCCCCGTTGGGGAAAAGGTACGGTACAAATGAAATAAATAGTGTTTTAAAAAAGAAAGAGCATACATGTTAGAGGAATAACTTGGCAGCTGCAGCCTTTCCTTGCTTTCCACTAGTTGAACTCCTGCTTGTAGAGAAGGGAGTCAAATGGCCCGACAGCTCGGCGGAGAGAGAAAAACACACAACAATAAAGGAAAGTGCCTCCAAGGTTCCCTCGCCGCCCGCCGAGGTGCGCCTCACCTGCTGGGCATCTCCCTCCGAGCGGCATCTGCTCAGCGCCGTGCCTAGCAGCAGCAGCACCCAAATTATCGTCCTCATTGCTCCGTTTGCTGCCCTCGCCGCGACCTCTGCTGGCGCCTCCCAGACGAACCGGGCAGGCTCACGAGTGTTGAGCTTCTCTGGAAGTGCCTGACTGAGCGCTGCGTGCCTCTTTCCCGGCTCATTTATCCTCCTTCGCACCGCTCCTCCCGCGGATCCCAGACCGCAGGCAGCCTGTCAGGTGACGAGTTGTCTCTTTCTAGCCTCCCAGCAAGCAGGAAAGCCTCGAGGTGGCTGGGCCCGGGCCCAAATAAATAAAAGGATTTCAATTCGGCCACGTTGGAGCAGAGCAAATAAAACGTAATTATTTGTTTTGTGGCTAGAAGTTGCTGCCTGGATCTTCTTGTGTCTTCATTGCCCAGCTGGGGAGCCAGCGGCGGAAGTGAGAAGATTAACCAGATAAGGCCACCAGTGGCTCTAGGCCTGAAGAAAAATGTCTTCTCCCTATTATAGAGGGCTTAGTTTGTGGAAATGGGTAGCTGAAATTTTTAATGGCACGAGGGTAAATAACATCACTTATTAAAAAAATAGCGTCCCTTTCAGAGTTGCCAACTTCCAAGTGGTAAAAATAAAATAAACTCACTGAAGAAAACCACTGTTCTATGACTTTAACACACTTGGTTATACTTTTTATAATATTTATTATGCAAAATTCTTATGTTACACCACAATCATCCTTATGTAAAGTACATGCCGTAAACATAGGTAAAGCCAGTAGATAATGATGTGAGTACAATACAAAATCTTGATGCAAATATTCTTGACATTGTTCTGGCTATGTTCCTGGAATGTTTTCTCCTCAAGGCGTCTTGATAGAGCTATAAAGTGGAAAAGCAGACTAAAAAGTCTTCGTTTTTCAAGCTCCTAAACAGCATTTATCACTCTGTTTAAAAACATGTGAATCCAAGGAATACAAGAGATAGAGAACACGCTTTCCTCCGATTAACAAGCAGTTTCGCCAGATATCTTTATCAACACTATCTCTCTGTTGGTGTTCATCACCAATCTCTTGACAGAGCACTGCAGGAATTACAATAATGTGGATCAATGCAACGTCTCTCTAATGTCCTCCCAAAGCTTTGCATTATAATTATTATAAAAAGTACAACCAAATGTGTTAAAGTCATAGAACAGTGGTTTTCTTCAGTGAGCTTATTTTATTTTTCCCATTGTATTCACACCGAAGCCTGTCTTGCTTTTGATACATTAACTTCCAAGTGGTGGCTGGCGATTTCCTGGGATTACAACCCATCTCCAAGCAACAGAGATCAGTTCCCCTGGAGAAAACGGTTGCTTCAGAGGGTGGATTCTATGGCATTATATTCTGCTGAAATCCCTCCCCTTCCCAGACTCCATCCCCCCCCCCAAATCTCCAGGAATTGCCCAACCCAGAGCAGGCAACCCATCTAAGCCTCTGTTACAAGGACAGAACCTTTCTTTTTCCTCTGGGCACAACCATACCAGTGGCCTGCCTCATGTCCCATGTTTGAAATGTTTCTTGCAAGGCCCTCACAATCAAATCTATTCCGTGTACTTCAGAGATGCTTTATCATACACCACAAGGCCAGAACCTGTTCTTTTCTTAAAAAAACAAATGCTATCTACAACTCTGCTTATCTGAAATTTTGCATGCATGCAAAATACACACGCCTGGCCTCCATTCTGAATGGTGCTTGCTTGTTCAGTTAAATTATTTTTCTGAGCCAAACAATGATGACATAACAACTGTTGATCCTGCCTCCATGAATTTTGCTGGGGACAACAGCAATCTGATATATGCTTGCACCATTCCAAAATAATGACAGGTGGGATGGGATGCCTGACTTTTGCAGACTGCAAGAGAGAAGCATCAGCCGTAATTGAAACTTGATGTTGAAGGTGCCCAGCAAAATGAACCCAAATGTTCTCCATTGTCATTTTTAGTTTGAAATAAATACCTGTTTTAACTCTTATACTTTATCTGAAAAGCATAGATTAGAATTTGCTGAGCATGTGTTTTTGACCACAGAAACGTATAATGCATTACTCCTTTCTTACTTTGGGTGTACAGGAGGGGTTTGCAACGTTTTCCTGTTTTGTTCAGTGATGGTATATCAGAGTGCTTTATCTCTATGGTTAGATAGAGAAACATTAGGTAAGAACACAGCAACTCTTCAGCATTCCTACTTCTTACAACAAACTTAATTTTATTTATTTACAACATTTGTTTCCTGATTTTCTGCCCTTACAAGGGCCACCAAGGCAGCTAACAATTTAAAACATACATGATTAAAAAAACAGTGCATATCAACAGGGAAGCAAAATGAAGCCTGCCAATAGAGAGGGTACACATTTCTTCACCTATGCCGTACTCCTCAAGTATACAGAAAAACATTCGTTTGTATTTTTCTTTATAAATGCCTGAAAAAATGTTGAAGGCAAGTGAGGGCTGGTTAAAGGGGGGGGGGGGACAGAGGGATGTGTGAAAATTGGCCAGCTAGCCAGCTTTGATCTTACAGTATCCGGAGAGGGGGAAGGGGGTAATTTTCCAATAATTAAATTTTCCCTTTGCCATTTTTATACTTCTTTCCTCCAAGAATAATTTTTATGTTCGATTGATTGATTTGATTTGTATCCTGCCCTACCCTGCAAGCGGGCTCTGGGTGGCTCACAACACATAAATATAACAATTAAAAGATTAAAATGTAATACAATAAAAGATTAAAGTTCAAATCGATACATAAATCACGAGATGGTGATAATACAATTAAAGTGCTCTCAGAAAGTTTTGACTCTTGTATGTGTGCTCATGTATACTGATTTTTAGCAAGTGGCAAAAATTCCCACCACTCAATCATAAAAAGTACCTGTGAGTAGCACAGATGAATAGAATAGGTGTGTGTGGGGGGGGCATTCTAATGATAGTGTCTGCCGCCTCAGCCTGGTGGAACAGCTCTGTTTTACAGGCCCTGCGGAATTATTGTAAATCCTGCAGGGCCCTGATCTCAGTTGGGAGTCTGTTCCACCAGGCTCTGGTTCTGGTCGATGCTAAGCGGACATCACTTGGCCCGGGGATCTGAATTGGTGTTGATCTGAAGAACATAGAGCTCTTTGAGGGACATAGCGGGAGAGACAGGCCTGCAGATATGATAGTCCCAGACTGCACAGGGCTCGAAAGGTCAATACCAGGTCCTTGAATTTGATCTGGTACTCAACTAGAAGCCAATACAGCTGGTCCTGTGGTCCCAGTAAGGACACATGCAGCTGCATTTTGAACCAGCTGGAGTTTCTGGATCTGTCTTAAGGGTAGCCCCACGTAGAGTGAGTTACAGTAATCCAGCCTGGAGGTGACCAATGCATGGATCACTGTGGCTAAGTTACGGGGGAGGGGAAGAGATAGGGGGCCAATTGCTTGACCTTTCGGAGATGGTTAAAAGGCTAATCTGGCAACGGTCATGACCTGGGCCTCCATTGAAAGGGAGGCATCCATTGTCACACCCAGACTCCTCACCTTTGACGCTGGCGCTAACAGCACCCCCTCAAGGGTGGGGAGGCGGATCCCCCGTTCCATCCCCCTGCAGTCAGGCAGAGGACCTCTTCTTAGACAGTAAAACAGGACAACCTACAAACAAGTTCAGGGTTTGCACATAGTTGGCAGTTGCCTAGCTATGTAAAATATATATATATTCATTTGTAAATCAGAGCAGGGGGGGGGAACGTTCCTGTCCCCCCCAAAAAAAGTCTGGGGATAACTGAACATATTCAGAATGTTGAGCGCAATTGAAAGTCATTTAATGGGGAAACTGGCTGCTCAAGCCCCCAAGGAACTTATCGTAAGGAAGGAGGTTTGGTGTTGGGGAGAATGTCTCCATTCTTTATTCTCCCTCCCTGCCCCATTTGTCTTTAGCTCCCAACTTCTATCCGCTATCATTCATATAATAACTAAAATCGGGGTAGGGATTAGTGTTGCCAGCTCTAGGTTGGGAAATACCTGGTGATATGGGGGGGGGGTGGAGCCTGATGAGGGTGGGGTTTGGTGAGGGGTCTCCAACTACCACCTGGAAGATGGCAACCCTAGAAAGGATATATAAACCTGTTCAAAAATGAGTGCAGAGCATAGTCGTACAAGTGTGTAATCTGTACATACACATGAGCTCTTATTTCAGTGAGAAAAGAATAATGAGTGCTTGAAAGGTTTATTTAACTGCAATAACTGATAACTAGACCACGACCATAAGCACTTCTGTATTGTTAATATAATATGACATGTAGCCCTGTGAAATTACATTCTTCAGGTATTCTATACTATAAACTGGCTTTATTATATGAGAAGAATGGCCAGGGCAATAAACAAAGAAGTTCTTACTTACACATACAATACAACAGGAAGGGGGGAACAATCCTGAGACAGATGGGCTGCAGCTGAAGAATGCCCTTTCCCAGTACTTCCATGTATAAAATGTGGAACTTTCACCCAGTCCCCAGCCCCGTGAGCTGATCCATCAAAACAGCATATATAAGTGAGCCAGTGGTCCACACCCCAGACTTGTGGTGGAACAACCTGTTAAACAGAAAGTCAGTAAATTTTTGCATATGGGAGAGCAGCACAGACTTTATACCTCAAAACAGCATTTTCCTCCTTCCGTATAAAGAGTTTATACTATTGGTAACTAGTATAGTTAATGATTGACAATATGCTGCCATGCTGGGATGCAAATTTTAACAAATGGCAAATGTCAGTTTACCTTATAATCATTAGCTAAAAGCTGAGCTGGCTGTGTATAGTGTTAAAACAACATACAGTGATTGTAATCCGAAGAAAATTCTGTATAGTCTGAATTGCATATAACTTTCACCAGACTCAGCCTTGGCACATTTTTATGTGTTTTATGAGAATTACCCTTGATCTAGCCAATGTGGGGAAGCTTCTCCTTAAAAAGAACAAACAGTTGAGTGATTACAGGACTTAGGTAAAATTACTCCGGAATCAGAGTCCCTGCCATATCTAAGA